ATCAGTGCCATGCTTCGAAATAACCGCACGCACTTATGCATACATGCTAATTCTTCTTTTGGTCACTTCCTAAAGAGTTTTTCTAATGTTGGAGAATCTAATTAAACGGGTCCACCATGAGAATGGGCCACCCATGAAATGAGATTCTTCCTTTATGAGCATGGAAGCATCGATAGCATGCCTTCAACGAGAAAGGCTTTATCTTCCCTTTCTTTCCATAACTCTTTTACCCTTTCAAGCCTTGTCTTGATGCTCGTGCCACAAGTATCACGTACTCAATTTCCTCCTATGTCTTACATTGTATATTGATGACTAAGTAGAAGATTGATTCAAGATCACTCTCCTACTTCAACTGATGATATACTGACCTAAGGTGATTCTAAAAGGGATAGACTTCCAAGAGATATCGCACATTAGACAAAGAATATGTTAAGTGCAACAATCGATGCAAAAACCTTTCACTTGAGGCAATTTATTTTAGACGACTGTTTATGATGGAAACAATGCTATGTACAAATATTTTGAGCATCTAGTTGTTTTTTTGCTCTCAAAGTTAGTGCCGTGTTTGGTACGTGGAGTCTTCAATGGTTTGAGATGCGCAATCTGGCAATTTGACGCGTTAGAAATAAAACTTAACGTCAAATAATCGAGGAGGGGGAGAAGGTTGTCATTATTCCCCGAATAATTTGGATCTTCCTTAAGTCGTGTATGATTCAACAAGAACTGCTAGCCTCGACTACTGTTTCCGCCTTACATCCACAGAAGGTTCGGAGAATCCTCCTACATTCACAGTCGCAGATGGTCTCGTTCTTCCTTTCGGATTAAGAGGTTTGTCCTATTACACAACGCATGGCTCAATTAGAGGCCACAGCTACACAGTCCCTCTTAAAACACTGGATAGGGGCATTAGGACAAAAGATAATCATGCTTCTAATACAATATATCTTTGAAAGGGAACATAAAACGAAAAGAGAGGGATGGTGTCTATCTTGGTGCTTAACAACAGCTACGTATCAAAGCACTCAATGAAGTGGACATGTGTGCATATGTGTGGAATACTGAAGATTAAATGCTGAAGCTTAAGTTGAAGATCACAACAGGTAATGTCTTGTTCATTAGGAGTCTTCAGACGTCTGTTTGTACAGTTGTTGAATAAGATTTTTTTTCGTCGACAATTTTCTTCGGAAGCCCGCTAGAGTCAAATGCCCATTTCTTTTCATTCTATTGATGGGGATTACAGCCATCCCACTATGGCGGATGTGTTCCACAAGAAACCAATAGGAGAATATTGTCCAAGGGTTAGTGGATCTAGAGTTCTCAACTAATACCTTCCCTGCTATTCATATACTTCAGAGAATAATGTTCCCAAGTTATGGACAATTGTACTAGCTTGTCCATGTCGAAAGTAACGGTTAAAAATGTTATTTAATAATATGTTGCATGCCCTCTCTCCTTGTTTCCACTGCTGGATTAATCTCTCATTCTCTCTCTCTCTCTCATTCTCTCTCCTCTCTCACTCAGATAGTTTCTGTATCTTGATTCATATAATTTCTCTCTTAATGCCAGTCCTTTCATTGTCTCCTCTGGATTAAGTGAGGTCAACACCCCTTTCATTCTTAAATACAGTGATATCTGCTACAACTAAAGGGTCTAAGAACAGTTTGCCCCCCACTGTTGTACCTTTTGTTCCATTCTTTAATATGTTTGTAAGTATTTTATAATTGTAAAGATGTTGAATCTTTAGTGATATTTTTCATTACTTCTTCTAATCGTGGTTAACGTAGTTTCACATCCGTTGCGTCACCCTTGGGAGATGATAATACAATTACTTCTAAAAAATGAATCAGTCATTCCTTCGATAATGATGCAAAGGTATTGTAGCCAATACAATAGTAAAATATATCATGATCATCTAAGACCCAGGGATCTCCATAGATTCAATGGTTTCCCGCATATGATGCAGGGAGGAGATTGGTAACAACCCAACTCTTCAAATCAAAGAGTCGAAGTCTTCAGATTGTTCCTTTTTTTCATTTGGCGTTGACCCCAAGTTCACATGAGAGTGTTGAGATGTCCTCCAATAGCAACAACTCCAAGTGGTCAACTTTGACCATAACTACCTCTCTGTAACTGCCTGTAATTCAAGATACCAGAATTACTAATAAAAGCTGTCCTCTCACTATATAAGGGGGGACCGATCTGAGGGTAGGAGTGAGGTTTTTCTCTCCTTCCTCTGATTCATCTCCTCTCTTCTCTTGAATCTCTTCATGGTATCAAAGCCACTGCACTCAACAGCCTCTTGATCCATGGCCTCTCCTACATCCAAGGATACAATAGTTGTGAATCTTGGAAATCAGCAATTGTCAGTTGCTTCTTCGACGAGCTCTATTGCAGTGCCGATCGCCACAAATCACATCGGCGGACAGATCTCGATCAAGCTCACGAGAGATAATTTCCTCTTATGGAAAACTCAACTGCTTCCTCTACTAAATTGCTATGGCCTCTGGCACACATTCTTGAGCAAGATCAACCGAGCTCAACAAAGCCGGAGTATCAGCAGTGGTGGCATCAAGATCAACAGGTACTGACACTAATTGTTTCCTCCCTTATAGAATCTGTTTTGCCGTGCGTTGTTGGCAAAACTTCTGCCAAAGAAATGTAGATGTCTCTCAACAAGAATTACTCCTCCAAGAATCCGTCAAGGATTATGCATCTGCATAACAAGCTCCACAACACCGCCAAAATAATCAGGTTAGTATCTAATTATGTGCAAGATCTTTACAGCACCTGTGATGAGCTCGTAGAAACAGGGCAACTAGTTCATGAAACCGTTGCCATATATGCACTTCTACGGGGACTAGGCCCCTCCTATGCTACCGTCAATGTAGGAATTACTCGCATCTGCAGAACATGAGTTTTGAGGAAATTGTATCTCAGATTCATTCACATAAAGACCTCGTCAATCTTTCAGTAGCGACCAAAGATTAGCCCCAAATTCCCTCCTACAACGAATCAATCAATAGTTCCCGAACGAGGTAGGGGTCGATCTGGTGGGCAATCTAGTCGAGGACGAGGTAGAAATGGCGAGCGATACATTCCTAGATGCCAAATATGTGGTCAATTTGGGCATCGAGCTCAATATTGCCGTGAACGATTCAATCAAAGCTTATTTGGTTCAACTAATTCTCCAATGAATGCGACTCAACCTTACCAACAGCCGCAGGCCTATTCCCTCACATGTAAGACCAATCCAGCCGGCATGGAGCCACCTCACTCCACTGCCTAGTATCCTAAGACTGGTGCCACTCACCATGTCACAAATGAGCTGCAGACTCTCATAGATCCAACAATCTACCAAGGTAATGATCAGCTGCAAATTGGCAATGGCACAAGTTTCGCCATTCGTTCCATTGGAAATTTAATTTTGTATTCTCGTCACAATCCGTTGAAGCTTCGTGATATTCTCCACGTACCTATGATTGCTAAAAAGCTTTTGTTAGTCCCAATATTGACCAATGATAACCACGTTTATGTGGAATTTCATGCCATGTATTGCCTTGTGAAGGACGAAGCAACAGGGACTCCTCTGTTGTGGAGAACAATTAAAGATGGCCTCTACTTCCTGCAGAATTCCAAGTTTCCACAAGCGTACCTCAAACAAAAAGTACCAATTGGCACATGAGATAAGCGGTCGGGCCATCCGAATCTCAAGATTCTACAGCATATAATAGTCACTTATAGACTGCCAACGTTGAAAGTCAATAAAGACAGTCCCTCTTGTGATGGTTGTCTCTCTTCCAAGGCTCATAAACTATTATTCTTTAAATCGCTTCATTCCGCAAACCCCTGCAATTAATCCATTCGAATTTATGGGGGCCACCTACAATATCTCATCTAGGATACATATATTATGTGATCTTTGTAGACGATTATTCGAGATACACATGGCTCTATCCGTTGAAGCAAAAAAATGAAGTCCTTGATGGGTTTACAAACTTCCAGAAGAGAGTGGAACTTCAATTGTCATTGAAAACTCTGAATTTTCAGTCGAATTAGGGAGGTGAGTTTCAATCGCTAAGCAAATTACTCAGTGATCAAAGCATTAATAACCGAATGTCATGCCCGCACACACCTACTCAGAATGGGACAGTTGAGAGAAAACACCAGCATTTAATCGAAACAGCACTCTCCCTTCTTAAGCATGCCTCAATGCCACAGAGGTACTGGGATGAAGCTGTGGCAACAGCTACCTTCTTGATCAATCGGATGTCAATTCCCATCTTGAAGCATAAAACCCCCTATGAGTTGATCTATCAGTGCTCACTTGACTATCATCTTCTCAAGAATTTTGGGTGCTCTTGATATACAAATCTCAGACCATACGCATTCACCAAGCTCACTTCTAGGTCTGAGCGATGCATCTTCTTGGGCTGCAGTGCTTTTCATCGAGGCTACAGATGCCTCTCACTCACTTCAGGGAGAATTTTTATCTCGCAGAATGTGGTATTCGATGAAGAGGTATTTCCCTTTCAAAATTCACCTAATCTATTTGTCTCTTCCTCTTCAGGTTCTCAAGCACAGGGAGTACTGGGAAAATCTACATCTAAGTCTAGTATTTCTACATATTTTTCACGACACAAACACCTGCTCCAACACAACCTCCCACGCCCACTGCCATCTCACCAACCAGTATTGAGCCTTGCATTACCCAATCCATAGACAACTCTCCCGCCGAACTCCTTGATCTTCCCTCCAACTCTACTCACACTAGTCACATTCCTTTAGCTGACCCTCTCTGTCCCTCCAATCTTGACCAGTCAAGCCCCTCAATTGTCCGTAGAACTCGCACCCTCCAGGACATCTATGCCGACACTCAACCCATATTATTGACAACCAACCTCAGTCACGAACATCCTACATCCGCATGTCATGCACTCACCTCTTCATGTGAACCACACTCCCTTTCTCAAGCCCTCTGCAATTCAAATTGGGTTGCTGCTATGCACCAAGAAATTCGTGCTCTAATTCAAAATAGAACATGGTTTCTTGTCCCTTGACCGGCGTCAAACCCTGTCCTTGGCTACAAGTCGATATTTCGACACAAATTCAAACCTGATGGCATCATTGATCGCTACAAAGCACGGCTTATTGTTAAAGGCTTTCATCAATAGGCGGGACTTGATTTTCATGAAACCTTCAGCCCTATGATTAAAGTTGCAACCATACGTCTTCTTCTCTCTATTGCTGTCAGCCGCAACTAGTTCATTCGCCAACTAGACATATCGAATGCATGCCTCCATGGAGACCTCACTGAGTTGTTCTATATGGCGCAACCCCAAGGCTTTAAACATCCTCAATTTCCGCACTATGTATGTCAACTCCAGAAATCACTCTACAGCCTGAAGCAGGCCCCGAGAGAATGTTTCCATAAACTCACCACATATTTCATCAAGCTTGGTTTCTCGGGATCTAAGATAGACACCTCATTATTCTTCCACTCCGTCATCGAAATCTATGCGCTTATTTACGTGGATGATATCCTACTACTTAGCCCACATATGAATGCAATCCAATCTTTGATTCGCTCTCTCAATTCTCAATTCTCTGTCAAAGACCTCGGCCAGGCTCGCCACTTCATGGGCGTGGAGTTTCTACCTCATCCTAGTGGATATGTCCTCACACAATCCACTTATACTCTGTCGCTGCTGAAAAGAGCTCATATGGATAGTTGTAAGCCCCTGCCCACTCCCTCTCCAACGTCTTCTCCAACTATCACCTCTTCATCCATTGGCGAACCATCTCACTATCGGAGCATTGTTGCCGCCCTCTAATACCTGAGCATTACATGCCCAGATATCTCCTTCGCCGTAAACTCCGCCTGCCGAGCAATGCACAACCCTCAACCAGCTAACTGATGTCTCCTCAAGCATCTCCTACGCTATTTGAAGGGTACTCTCCACTATGGGCTCCTACTGCGTCGATCTACTATGGATCCACACTATCTCTATCAACATTCAGTGATGCAGACTGGGCTGGGTCCTCAGATGATCGGGGCTCCACCGGTGGCTTCCTCATCTATATTGGACCTAATCTCATATCCTGGAGCTCGAAAAAACAACCAACGGTGGCACGGTCCAGCACTGAAGCAGAATATAAGGCTGTGGCCAATGCTGCAGCTGAACTTATCTGGCTGCGATCCCTTCTTCGTGAATTGAGAATCGTCACTTCGCCACCTACAATCTGGTGTGACAACATCGGGGCAATTTATATGGCAGCTAACCCAGTCTTCCACAAACGAATGAAACATATCGAAGTAGATTTTCACTTTGTTCGTGAACAGGTTTCTTCGCAGTAATTGCGCATCGGCTTTGTCTCTAGTCAAGATCAAATGGCGGACCTCATCACCAAACCGCTGCCCAAATCCCGCTTTCTTCTTCTTCGGTCCAAGCTCAACGTCGTACTGACGCTTCACTTGCGGGGAGATGTTGAGGCGTCCTCCAATAGCAACAGCTCCAAGCGGTCAACTTTGACCATAACTACTTCTCTGTAACCGGCTATAATTCGAGATACCAGAATTACTAATAAAAGCTGTCCTCCCACTATATAAGGGGGGACCGATCTAAGGGTAGAAGTGAGGTTTTTCTCTCCTTCCTCCGATTCATCTCCTCTCTTCGGAGAGTTCTTCGGTCTACCATTAGAGTTCTTCTATCAATCGTTTGCATGAAAACCCCGATTAGGGGCATGGTGAGTTTTTCTTCTATTATTTTAGAGCAATCTCCCTACCTCCAAAGGATTCAATCTTGACGACTAACTCGCCTCCATTTGCTCTGGCAGTCACTGACACCTGTAAACACCTTCAGGGTATTCCTCCGCCATTTGACGTTTTAGGAGCAGAGAGTCATTCAGGAAGCCTTTGAAGTGATATCCAACTTGACAGTGAAGACGACAGCGGAGAGACGACCTAACTGACGAGGTTACAGAGGACCTACGGAAGCGGCAAACAAGAGGTGTACCTGAGAAACATCAGCACTGAAAAGTTGACAATACCATCTGTGAAGACCAACGAGCTTTGAACACAATCTCACTTCTTCGAACCCTTCCCACCATCCACAGAAACTGTTGATATCTTCATTTGCCCAGTTGTTCTACGCTCTCGTTGCGATCCTGAGTCATATAAATAATGCTTCCACAAAAGTAATAGTCATCCCTTGCGGCATCTTATCACCGCATTTCCTCTCCTGTGTCTTCGTTGTCCTCACTATTGGTTATGGAGCCAGAGTAACGTCACACGATAAATTGGAAGTTTGGAGGGTGATGACGCAAGAATAGATCTGGTTCACCTTTCTGATACTTTTTAATACATAAATTTTTTAGATGATAATTCGGGCTAATTTTTCTTTATTAAAGATTCGTATTATTAGTTTTTAGAGATATCCATTTGATGATTTGACCCATCTACTAATTCAGTGCCAAAGATATAGCCTTGAGAAATATTTTCACCCTTTTTATTTTCCTTTTTCTCAGTCATAAACTTGCTGGACTTGACAGAGGCTCTTTTAGACAATTTGGTAATGGGCCAACTACACCAAACCTAATACTCAGTTCATTACGATGAGAGGTTAAGGGGGAAGAGAGAGAAAGAGAGAGAGAGAGAGAGAGAGAGAGAGAGAGAGAGAGAGAGAGAGAGAGAGGCCCCCTGATAGGAGGTAGGGTACACAGCAACGGCGATGGTTGGCCCCCCTACGCATGACAGGAGAGGTAGCGGCATCGACACGACGAAGGCGGCGGCATTCGGCGGCAACGACGGTGGCACAGCGACGACAAGAGTAGCGAACTTCCCTCAGTGACAGGTGGAGGTGAGTACGGCTGTGGTGATGATGATGTATGGCGACGGTGACGACGGCAGTAGCGAGCTCCCCTCCTGAGTGACAGGTGAAGGTGGAGGTCAGCATGGCGACGGCAGTAGGTACTACGGCGGATGGAGGACGTCGAAGGAGGGCGGAGCACGGCGGTGACAGACGGATCCCTTCTTCTCCCATCTCAAACCTTTCCTGGGTGACAGACAGAAAGGGGCGAGAAGTCTGTAGATTAGGATTTTACCACTTTCTTTACTATTTGTCGTACGATTTTACACTTACTACTTTCTGCGATTTAATTGGGAACTCGTTCTCCCTCTCTAGATCTTTGAGTGACACAGATCGAAAGATGACTAAGTTTCAACAATTTATTACTTTCTTTACCGTTTTGCTTTACTTTTTTTTTTCTTCATATCTGAATCATTTTTCGATTCATCTCCGTAGTGTGAGTGGCACACGACAGAGCTGAATTAAGTTTCCCCTATTTCTCTTTTCAATTAAACTTCCTCTCTCTCTCCTTTTCTCATTTCCTGTAATTCTTCTATCAAATAAGCAAAGAACGATATAATTTGATATCTGAATTGAAAGTCATTCCTGAGGATCCACTTGAACTCACCAGCATTTTTAAGCTAATTTATAGGTTTTAATTTCAGTATCAATTTTAAATTTAATGTGTTTTAATTCAATGACTAAAACACGATCAATACTCCTTCATACCATGATTCCATTTGTACCTCCTTCATTGCATGAATGCCTCTCACTTGGAAATTCAAGCTTCAAGCATTGTGTTATTTGAATTTGATTAAGTTTGTTGCATTGCAGCCTGACTTCTTTCAAATCACTGGTCATAAAATTTTGGTAGTTATGTTGCCATAGTACTCTCCTCATCTCTTGGTGATTATATTGTTGGGGGGTACTACAATGAGCCGTTGACGACCCCTAATGAAAAGTTTACTCGATGTGATCATTTGGTTTAAATTTCCATTACCTCCGCTGCACTGTCTTCATTCAACGTCTGATTCCCCAAACTTTTATAATAGCACTTGACCATAATATTGCAAATATTTTTCAACCACTATTCTTTGATTTCTACATCTGTTGAGTTGATTGTCTCATTCATCAGTCTTAGAGATCACTTGGTCATTTCCCAGGATATCAGGAGACAAGGTTACATGATTCATGCACCCATTAATGTTAGGGTGGGGGGGCACTGATTCAAAACCAGTCAATTATGTGCCCCATTCGTTGGTCGCTCTTTTGCCATCATCAACGTGTTCCCTCCTGTGTAGGTCTTTTACACTTTCTCAAAAGTAAACGTTATAAATATACTACCTACAATCAAAGAATAACCTTGAGCTCAGTAACGTTAAAGTTATTTCGCTGCCCAACTCGAAAGCTAATTCCCACATTTAACGTCCATCAAAGTGAAAGTGTATTGACAATGAGTAGACCGAAACCATCAAAGTGCTATTGCTCCCAAACAGCCAAAAGCTAAGCAGAAGTTTTGCTCAGTCCCCTTAAATAAAATTATTTGGAACTGTATACTAAATATATATATATTATACTTTATGGAATATTTTCCTTTTCCTGGGTTTTTTGAATCCTGGCAAAATCCGGTGCACACTGACGAGCGTTCCCCGTCAGAGACTTTTGTGTGCGCGATTATACAACGGCGTCTAACTCTTCGCAGACGTGTGCGGCGTACTGTCTTTGAAATGCTGGCAACTTCTTACCGCGTGTAGCGTGGAAATCTCAATGTGCGAATGTTCTTGTGGAGAAAATCAACGGAAGCCCTTGCCGAAGCAGCCAATCCACATAAACATGAAGTCATGCCCTAGCACACTCGCATCGTAGTCTCACTTCCCTCAGACATATCTGGCATGGCTAACCTGTCCTGCCTCATGCCGCACTTCAACTTTGATTTCCTAGTCTGTATCTACTCGCCTTCTTGGCTTTCACAACGGCCGATCCCACGACTCGACCCAGTACTAAGTTTTCGGGACTCGCCGACACATATTTTAGGATGAATGGTTCAAAGGTGTGACAAGCTAGTATTATGTTTACTGAGAACACCGCTACAAGAATTGATCTTATTACTGATCCTTTGGTAGCAATGTTTATGATCTTAATGGTCATGTTTGGATTATTAGCCTTGATAGGGTTTAAGATCTTAAGATATGGTGTAAGACGATAAATTTAAAACAAAAAATATGCGGTGTACAGTGTGCGATCCTGGTTAGAAAGATCAAAGGAAATAAGGTAATATATATAGAGAAATTTAAAGGCTAGGTGCCATCGTAATGCTCTGAAGTGCAGAATGGATGTTTTGGGCTGATGGCCTCATGTGAGCCGTGTAATCTTTGTAGTCTAGTTAAAGTTGTAATTTTACTGTCTCCTTTCTATACTCTAAATTATGGCTCAAATCCAAAACCAAACAAATTGGTGAATCTAGTCTTGATATAAAATTTACCTTGAAAACTCTTATAGTGAAGAAATTTTGGGGAAAATGTTCTAAAAAATAATTTTTCATCCGTTAGTTTTGTAAAGCTAATGGGACTTGGACCACGTTGGGTCGTTTCTGGGCAATGTAATGGGTCTTCTCGATAGCTTACTGAGCTGAGCTTGCTCCTGGTCCGTTGGGCTGTCTTTGACTGTTTTGCTGGCCTGTTGGGCTTACTGCGCTCTCGCGTGCGCCTGCCTGACGCAGCGGTTGCTATCCTGCAATTGCAACAGAGCGCGTATGCTACTGTTTAGCGCTCGTACACGTGACTACTGGATTCTGACCACCACGTGTCCAGAGTCGGCCAATTTTTTGTCGGCTACTTAAGCGTTTTCATCGTCAGATAATGTGAGGAAAACGGGCACCCTGTGAAAAAGGGACGCGGTTCTGAAACGGGCCTCTCCTCTTACAAAATGTGGAGGGGCTGAGGTAGATACCACGCCCTCAGCGAGAACGGCTTTATCTTCTTTCTTTCTTTGTGTCCTCTGTTACTTTTCTTTCTGCCTTTGCCTAGATTTCATTGTATGCTTTCATTTTAGACAATTTATTTCATAATTAATTCATTGATTGCATTTTATACTTTCATGTTAGACAATTTATTTCAGAATTAATGCATTGATTTCATTTTATGCTTTCATGTTAGAGAATTTATTTCAGGCTTTATCTCTACTTAGCATGTAACACTGGGAATTAGCCCCGAACGTTTGGTACCCGGATGATTCATTGAATAGCTTGCGCTAAACAATCCGCGGATCCCGCGTATCGAGAGTAGACCTCAGCGTAGAGCAAATGGGGAAGCAACCAAAGGCAAAGTTTCCTGGTACCTGGAGCTCTACGAAACAGTGTATCCTGGGTTAATCTCTGATGAGATATAATCAGTTCTTCAATAAACCATGGGGCAGTAGATTGAGAATGATTCCAAGACCACCCCCACAAAAGCTGTCGAATCATTCTCTGTTTTCTGCGGCTCCATGCGTGTTATCGGCGAAAGACATCTTC